GCTGAGCCCACACTAGAAGGTGGAATTAAAACAAAGCAGACTGCTGATTGGTCAGAGAGACATCCTGTACGAACACGCTATTTCTAAATAGCCACGCAACCGTCGATAGTGGCCACAACTTATTTTTCCCCTGAACCAGATTTGGACAGCGGGGGCCAGTAAAAACTACCTGTTCACTGCAGCGAAGTGCAGACATTCCTCTGTTTGGTTGCAGATGGAAGGATTCAGCGGGGTGTCCCGTTGGTGATGATGCCACGGCCTTTTTTGTGACCTAATAGTATACATACAGTATTAAAGTTCTTATTGCTCACTCTGACCACTATTTGATAACCTGGTAGTGTATTTCTATCCCTTCTGTGCTTCTCCATCGGTCTATATTCTCCTGTTCTTTACTGAGGCCTTCTTTGTTCCTCCCTGTTCTCTCTTCCTCTCTATTTGCTTTAGAAATACCTCACCCAGCTTTCACAATCATCATGTTTACATTAGTCTCTCTCTCTCTCTCTCTCTCTCTCTCTCTCTCTCTCTATGTGTGTGTGTGATTAAACTGTGCTTTCGTTTTTGATTTTAAGATTACATACCGAGTGATTCACTAGGCCAAAAGAAAAATATTTATACAAATATGTTTTGGATAACTAACTGCTTCAATTGAACAACTTCATTATGCTTTGAGTTTTCCAGACAGACCTTCCTCTGATGTCTCATTCAAAAGCTATCTTATTCTACACCACGGACACATCACAGCGACTGCAGGCGTCTGATTGGTAGAGCATGTTTTATAAAATAAAATGACATTTATATATGACTGATTCGACTGATTAATCTGTCAATTCTTTCTATCGATTCATTGATTATTCCCTTGGTCAATAAAGCTTCAGAAACTGTGATCTCTTCTTTTGTTCAATCGTCTTTACTTAATGGCAATTATTAGACCATCAAGTTATCTCTGCTTATAATGGTTATTATGATGCGTTTGATCATCTTTCTCTTAAACCTCAATATAATTTTACCACACAGTCACCTCGAGAATGATGGTAGAATCCATTTCAATGAGGCAAAGAACAGCTTCACTTCTGTGTCCATCCTGTACATCTACAGAAGAAAGATGAAGAGAGGATCTCCCTTTTCTTCAGATGCAGTGAAACACCAGAGACCTTAAGCACAATGTATTATGGCAATGCAACATTGAGAGTGTGTGAAAGGAACGCTGCCTACTCAATTCACACTTATATCAAGTGCAGCAACTTCTCAAGACCAAGCTGTTTCACGTCTGCTGAGTGGAGTGACTGGGGGTTAGATTAGCATCGACTAGCTTTGTCCTGGAGACAAGAGCGAAGTGTCTACTCTGTGATTTCAGACTGTGGTCAGGGAGCCAAAGCAAGGAAAAAGTAAGACCGGGCTGCACGTTTCTTAAGACTGGACCAATTCAGATGGTGAGACGTAACAGACGTCAACCACGTGTGGCGTGTTTACGGTCTGAGCTAGGCTAATTCATCCGTTTGTCTAAATTATGGATCACTACAAACATTCTATGTGTTTAAAACTGACAGTAGTACATTTGGATGCATCACACATCGTAGCCCTCAGAATCACACTGTGAGGCCGAGACATTCATACCTCCACTTCTCAGAGGCAATTGTGAAAACATTTTGCTGTATTTAATTAAAATGGAAAAAGTAGACCACCCCTACTATGACGTCTTTACATTAACACATCTGCAGGACCCGCCTCTACTTTCTCTCTCTCTCTCTCACACACACGCACGCACACACACACACACACTCTCTCCATTCTTTTTCACTACAATCTCTCTGTTCTGTTCCTCTTCTTGGGTTTTTCTCTCATTTTGTTTCTTCTTTGCTTCCTTCTTTCCTCTCTGACTTCCTGTCTCTCTCCCTCTTTCCTCTGCTGTGCCGTTCTCTCTCTCTCTCTTTTTATATACTCTCTCTCTCTCTGTTCCACACACACACACACACACGCACACACACACAGTAATATGATCTCTTCTATCAGGCCGACACAGCCGTGAATCAAAAGAGAGAAATATAGTACAAAACTTAGTGGCCCCACCCCCACTACTCTCTCTCTCTCCCTCTCCCTCTCTCATCTACAACATCCCTACCCCCAACAACCCTCTTCTCTCTTCAGTCCCTACCCCCAACCACACCACACAGCTCTCTCTCCACATCCCTCGTTCTGAAAGAAATATACTCACTGACGGAAAAAAAGAAAAAAAACACAATGCGATGCTGCATGATTCTGTGAGCACAACACTTCTACAAATGATGTTAGAGTCGGAGATTAAAAGCAGCAGATTGGCATACAGCACAGCAAGTGTAGTCATTAAATACATATAAATATATATATATCACTATAATCTCATAAAGACATAGACGGAATATTCTGTTCATGCCCAACCTGCAGGTCAGAGGTCACAGTTGGCTACAAAACTGGTAGAGAATCAGATGTGGTGCTACAATTCCAAAATACATAATGCATGTACAAAGTAGGTACCATATAATAACAGTCATACTGTACTATTTAGGTTTTTTTAAATACACAGGATACAATAAAAACATTTGTTCTCCGTTGGACATCAACGGCAATTACACATCACCACTAGAAAGCAAAATGTTTCTCCAAAGATGGTGTTTTCTCTGGAGATGTCTCCACACTCAGTTTGTATTTATCACAGCTGTAGGTACTGTCTCTGTTTTCTTAGTGCGTTGCATTGTGGAACTTTTCTATATTCTGCATTTCTGCAGTGACCACTCAAGGAGGTATATGGAGTTAGTTGCACGTGTAGTAAAGCAATAGTGGACTTTACCAGCACACCCTGAAACACACCAACTACCAAAAAAACATTTGTTCCCAAAACATGTTTCCTTTCAGACTAAATACACGTTCAGGAGTTCATTTATTATTTTGTCTATTTTGCATCTGTAGATTTTCAACAAAAGTTACTGTTAAGTAATAGCTAATTTACATATTCAAATACAATGTTTTCAAAAAACGTGTAATAGAAAAAAGAATTGTCCTAATGTAAGTTGTCCACTGTTGAAGTTTCATGTTGATATCTATGATTTAATTGTTTGACCCTATTCACCTGTAGTGTCTTCTAAATGTCTGTAATTGAACTAAACATCTCTTTAAAGGACATTTTCTCTCAATGACTTTTCTCTCAGACTCTGATCCAGAAATCTCCACTTCAGTAGCTCTTACATACAGCAAACTTTAGTTTCATAGTTTTGTTCACATATCATTCATACAAACATTTTATTACTAAAAACATGGAGAAAATGTTATTTTTTATGGCTGTTGACAATATGTTCTGGTTTATGGAGTGATACAAAGAGATATCTAAAACCTCTGACTCTGATACGTCAACAAAATAAACAAAGAATTCTGAACCTGGCTTTATCCAATGTTCAGAGTACTGTTCTGGAAATGTATGCAAATATGTAATAAGATAATGCCTCATTGCATTTTAACATGAACATAAAACTTGTTATACAAAACTGTGTACATTTGTACGGTATTGAGCTTCACATGGACCCGAAGTCGGAGCGGTGGCACTAAGGCGGGCGCTCGCTAGCACAGAGTTTGAACCCAGCGTTTCTGCTCACAATGATTGTCACCACAAGCCGACACCACGTTGTGTTGAGCAGAGGAAACGCAGCCTCTCAGTGATGCTGCAGAGGGGCAGTTCATACATGTCTATGGGCAGGGCGGGATCAGACAACCGGCCTGTGAATAATCCCATCAATCATTAAACTGTACAGCAGCGTGCTCTGACATCACTCAGTCCACTGTGCTCCATCACAGAGGCAGATCACAAGTTAACAGCACAAGCCGGGTTTGGCTCAGTTTGGGTCCCACTGTGCTAACACGATGATAAAATACGAGCATGTACGCAGCAAGCACAGCACTTTTACTTGGACATCACATGACGCTGTTTGGGTTTACATCCCTGCTGCGTGTGACACGCGTATTCAGATGTTTGCTAACTGACACGTATTTGAGAATTGTTGTACACTAGTTAACTGAAGTATAAAAGAAAGTGAACAAAGCATATTTTAACATTGTTATGTAGATGTAATAGACATTTTATTTTATTTATCTTAATGCTGGGAAAATAAAAAAACTAAATAAATGTGTTCCAAAAGTTGTCACGACAAGATTTAGGAGTGGTTACTAATCTGTCATTTGCTCTAATAGCTGCGCTCGTCAGCTGCAACTAGTTAAATAATAAAGCAATTAATCAGTGAGCACAGCCCTAAAGTACCCAGACACCGAGAGAAGCATCCCTCTGACCACACATGATGGATGATGGATAGACAGACAGTCCTATATTGATCAAATATCATTTCATCCAGCGTAAGAGTGGTCTCTCAAGGTGGCACACACTGGATCCCTGTAAGCTCCACGATTCTGTCTGGATCCGACCCTGACCTTTGACCTTGCTCCGGAGGGAGAAAGACAACAGAGCTTCCCCGGACACGATGAACCTCAGTGTCATTAAACTGAAAGGATTGAACTCCAGTTTGAACTATTTGAAAAAAGAAAAAAACAGCTAATAGTGCTGGTTCCGCTCCCTAATCACTTTCCATGTAATTTCATTCTCACCACAAATCTTCTGTTTGTACTTGTGATTCAGTGCATATCTAAACTTAATTACCTTTCAATTACAGGTGGCGAAGTTTTAATTAAAGGTGTCATTACATCACTGGCAACAAACAGGGAGTGAAATGACTGCCCGTGAGTGGATGTGCTCAAAGGAAATGGGGTAACACTGGGATGTAGTTCCTTCGATGGTTGTTTAAGTGTAATTGGAGCCTAATAAAGCAATTAATGACCACTTAATTGGCAGGGCAAGAAGGATGAATACACAGAGAGGTGAGATAGCGGAGGTAATCAAAGTAGAACACGACAAAGGTGTCTTTTATCTCTCAGACAATGGGAAACACAAGGGGTCTATGGAGGGTCGTTCTTTCCTTGCTTACCTTGTTGGTCCCGAAGGCCGGGTCCGGGTAGGAGAGTTGCCCCAACCTGGTGTGGTCTGACGCGGCCAGAGGCTGAGGAGGAGGTGGGTAAACGGTTACATCCATGGCTCAAGATACATCCACTTCTCCGTCCGATCTTGCGCTCGATGTTCTTTCTTCTCGGGTCTCTGTGAATGTCTGAAACCTTTTTTTACAAAGTTGGATGGTTATAGGTGAGTGCGCGAGCGGCCAAACAGAGAAACAACCTCGGTCCGATCAAACGAGCTTCTTTTGGAAAAGAAATGCAGGTTTCATGCAGTTAAGTCGATGAAATAACCCTAAACCAAGCTTCTGGAGTCAGTGAAGTTTAGACGGATGCTCTCCTTCCCGCACCGGGTTTCACGCTCCAGTAACCGCTGCTGTTAGTGCTAAACTTCCCGGTAAACCCACTTCTTCAATACTTGGCGATAAAAAACAAACATCAATGGTTGACTTTTTAAAAAGCGTAGCTTTCCCTCCGTTTGAACGTGGCTATGTATCCGGTGCTTGGTTCGAACAGGGGGACGTGGTTGGACCCTGTCTGTCCCTGGTTGGGACTCTGTGTTTTAATGTTCCTCCGCCGCTGCTGCTACTGCTGCCGCGCGTGTACTCGGTGCCGAGGTGCCTCGCGGACCAGTCATACAAAGACCTCCAGCATCAAGCTGGCAAGAGTAAGCCGTAACAAACCCGGATGTGCATTTTCTCACAAAATAAAAGCGCTGATTCCCCCCGTGGACAACAAAAAAAACAAAACAAGAGATTGAAAAGGACATAGCGTACTTCTCATTTAACTAATTTATTCAAACCGTCCACGTCTCGTTACACTAACTACAATCCAAATTTCAGAGGTGTGTTGTTTAAAAAATACTGTTGCAGAATCCTGAGTGATTTTATTTTGAGAGTAATCGACGTTTGCGTCCACCTTGACAAACAGGATCCAAGAGGAGCTAAACTGCAGATTGTGCTCCATCTAGAGGGGAAGAGTGTGACCAGAGGTCCAGCCAGGTGTCTCTTTGGCCTAAATGAAAGTACTGAATGGGTGTTTTAAATTATAGGGATGCGTGACTCTTTAAACATAGAGTAATTTAACAGAAGCAAAAAATTAAAACATTGTAGAAAAAAAAGTATGTTAATTATTCACGTGTCTGCTGTCCATGGTGCTAACACTGCACAGGACCCACTCCTTAAAACCCAGGTCCACTGTGTGTCGATCGGTCCTTAGTAACTTGGTTATTAGTATGAGCAAATCAAATGTAGTTTCAAGGCTGTTGTTTTAGTTGGCATGGTGCTCGCATTCTGCATGAACTAAAATAAAGTTGTATTCAACAAAATGGCCGCTAAAAGTGCAATAAAAAAAGACTACAGTGTACCTAAAGTGCTTGCAGAGACTGCAATTATTTGATAGGAATGTTTGGAAGTAACAGGGTATACTTTACACCACTGGTTGTAGGGGAACTAACAGAATTTCCCGTCAGGCCCCCCTAACAGGTTAATCCAGCTGGGACACATACTATGTTGTTTCTTGCATGTCTAGATTCTGCTGTTTACAGTGACAACATTAGGAAACATTTTAAAACTATAGGCAGGCTAACGTTAATTTAATTTTTGTTTTCTATCTAACTCACATGATACTTTGCCTCGCGGTAACTTGTGTGCTTTTCCAGCTGGCTACCTGAGGCTGGTGCTGGGTGCATGTTGAAATCATGACGGGAAAAAGAGAGTCACTTTTTTCTCACTGAAAAAGGAATGGGCAGAAAGCACCGGATTGATAATGTCCATTAATGCCCCCAAAGTGAAACTCTGTCTCATTGTCACTCCCAGCTCGTCAAATACAGACGCTTGATCACTGGCTCTGCTCTTTAAACTACGGTGCTCTTGGTTCCCCCTCTGGCGTCAGTTTTGGACGTGTAACATGCACAGTGCACGTCTTTTCAAAATAAACCTCCATCTTCACAGGAAGTTAGGTTTAGTGTTAACATACACGAATAAATGTGTTCTCAATTATATGTTATCTATTTGTATTGTCATATGCAGGCTTTATAGAGTTAACTCAGGTACTGTGTGATGGACAAAGAGAACAGCCTATAAGAGGTGCTGAACGTGACATGTGTCAATAAAGTTTTACTTTGGACAAAAGAGATCCACTGAACAGAAGTGATGCCCCACGTTCTTTTATCCCTCCGTAATTATATTCGGGTTAGCACTGGGTATACACGCAAAATTGCTGTACAATCTACATCTGCTAACATTTAGACAACAAAACCACTTGGTTAGGTTTGGAAAAAGAGTTGGTCGACGGTAACTTCACTGACTAACGACTCACAATCGGCACCCTGTGTGTCACTTTCTCTGAGTGTCTGGTAACGAATGGTGGGTTAACACTGGAGTTAGTTGAAAGAGCGGTGCGTCAGCACCGAGGGCCACTGACGATATTTGACGAGTCGAGAGTGGGACCGGGTTAGAAACTCTGCCGATCCTCAACAAACTCAGCAACCGCCGACACAGAGCCAAAAACTAGCTAACCATTGCCCCAAGGGAGACCTCGGCGAGGGGAGAAGGCAGACAAATTGGCCTGTAAATAGCGAAGCTGTCCGTTTCATTAATCTGCACAAGAAATAAAAAAATAAATAAAAATCATCCACCTACAGTGATCAGTGACCCGGACAGACGTGATCACTATTAACGTGATAACTGTACTTGCTGTGGCGCATAACCACACCCATGGTGTCAATAATGCCTGAAAGAGGAACTCCACACACGTTGTTTTGTGCCCTGCACACATATAGATCCATGTTGGCGTATGATGTTGACGAGGGTGATTTTATTTCCTACAAAATTCATAATGTGTGTAAAAACAGCTTTTTTCAGATGAAACAATGAAACAGATTGTGTGTGTTTGACAAACAGAGACTATTCAATACTCAATAAACAGA